TAATGTAGAAACAATGCTATTATCTAACTTACAGACCATATTCCAATTTTGCCAACTGTCTCGAAATGTCCTTTATAGCCCCTTTTACCCAGGTCCAGGATCCCACATTGCATTTCGTTGTCATGTCTCTTTAGCTGCCTTTAATCTGTAACAGCTCCTCAGCCTTTGTCTTTCAAAACTTGACATTTCTTCAGAGTACAGGCCAGTGATGTTTCATTGATCCTCATTTACTCAAGAGGAAACGGATGGTCAGAGAGGTAAAGACATTCGCCCAAGGCCACAGAGCCCATGAGTGGACCACCTGGCTCCACCGTCCACTTTCCATCGGGACACCCAGCCACCTTTCAACTGACTGAGGGCCCATTAAGAGCCTAGCACTAACTGACATGTTTATAACCACAAGCCAGTGCATCCTTACCATAACTCCATGAGGCTCAGAGAGGTGAAGTAACTTGCTCAAGGTCACAGAGCATGTAAGTGGAGTTAAGTTCAAGCTGGCCCCTACTCAGAGCTGCCCCTAGAAAGGGGTCTGGCTTCCAGTTCTGGAGTTGGCTTCAACTCTTAGATTTCTCATTTGTAAAATGGGGGTGATGATACTGACCTCACAGGGAGATTTAAGGATCTGATGTGGATGCCCTTTCTTAGCACAAGTTTAAGTGTAACACAGGTTAGCTCTACCTCAGAAATCTTCCAGAGTGCCCATCTCTTCAGCCTGTCGTTGAAGTCCATCAGGGCTCTGGTTCTATTTTACCTATCCAGTTCCTAGTTCACATTTTGCCTGAGCCTGTGTTTCTTCACCCAGATAGTGGGGGTGTTAGCCCCCCACTTCACCAGGCTATTGTAGGTATAGAGTGTGATGGGGGCTCCAGCAGACGGTCCAGCATATAACTGTTACTTGGTAAATGTTAGAAGTTGTCAGTTACCGTTGTCTCCTCTGCACATTCTCTACCCTAGCCAGAATGGCCTTTTCAACATCCTTGGGATATGCCCCGAGTAATCCCACCACACAGCTTTGCACAAGCTTGCTCCCTTTCCTTTTGCCTCTCTGAATCCTGTCCCTCTGGTCCCTCAGCTCAGCTGCTTCCCCTTCCATCTCATCCAGTCCCTCCTGGATTCTTGCTTTGGCTTCTCTCTTGCTAAGCATCGGGGTCCGCTCTCTTGAGCTGGAGTAGGATGTGGTGCCCTCCCTGTTCCTATTGTTAGGGGTAAAGTCTTAATGTCTGTCTGTGACTCCCATGGGCCAGGCATTAACTCTCTAGTTGATGGCTAGTGGGAAGTTCTGGGGGTCCTGGTGGAAGGGTTGGGGCAGGTGGGGTGATGGAAGATCACTCAGGGATTGGGCAGCAGCTGGATACCAACCAATATCAGGGATGTTGACGCTTTACCACTTAGTGTGGTTGCACTGGGATATACTGGTAAATCTCGGCCCTATTGGAGGCACCAAGCCCAAGACGTCAGTCAAGCCAGCCTCATTGGTTGGGCATCCTCAGGACCCCTTCCTGCCTGGCCTCTGCTACCTAGGCCCCGATTCCCTTTATGGCAGCCGCGGGCCCCGAGATGGCCAGCGCAGTCAGAGCTCTGCCAACGCCAGTGACTGATTAGTTACACGCCGGCTCCAGTGAAAAATTGAGTGCACAGCAATTCCAGACAATTAATGAGGAGGCCCAGGAGTGGGCTGTCATGAGTGGAGCAGTGACTCTCTAAGTCACTCGCCCATCCTTCTCAGGACCCAACCCCGTGGTCCGGTGGTGGGCACATTGCAAGGGAAAACACTGCATCTCGGCCTCTTGGGGCTCCCATTCTGGTGGGAGAGAACAAGTGTGCAGCCCACACTTGTTGGCATCTGGGAGTCTAGGGGACTGAAAGGCAGGGAAGACCTGAGGATGTGGTGGATGAGTAATGACCATAATATAAGCTGCTATTTCCTGACCACCTACTCTAGCCAGCTACTATTCCAACTGTACACACTGTCTCATTCAATCCTCTAGGCAGGCCCCATGAGGGAGACGTGAGTAAACCGAGGCTCACAGAGGTTAAGGACTTGTCCGATAAAGTGATTAGTGGAGCCAGGATGCCTCTCCAGGTACATCTTCCTTCAAAGTCCCTGCTGGTCATTAGCACCCACGAGCGTCTATCCAGCAGCTACAAAGGAGCAGATTCTAATTCAGTCTCTGGCGTCAACTGCCTTCCCAAGCCTGCATTTCTTACCTGGACAATGGGGATCTTGATACCTGCTTTTCAGGGCTGTTGTGAGGTTGAGAAATAATGCGTGTCAAGTACCTGCACATAGCAGGTGTCTGATAAGTGGAAGCCGGTATTACTGTCCCAGGTGGAAGCTATCCATTCTGGGAAACCTGAAAGGCGTGGAGGTGTTTGGTGATGGCAGGGTCACCTACCAGGGGAGGCCTGATGATGGAGAGGTCAGCAAGGACCGGAGCACCGAGTACCTTGAGTTCCTAGGGCCGAATGGTTTGGACTTGATAGAGCTGAATGGTTTGGACTTGATAGAGCAGTGAGAGGCTTTTAAACGGTGGAGTCCCTGCCAGATGCCAGGCACTGTGCTAAGTTCTGAGGATATGGGCACTAGCTAGATGTCCATGATCTTCATCTGTAGGCTGGGGACTAGGAGCAATCCTACGAGGGCAAAATTACTTCCAGAGAGGTGTCCCCAAAGGAAAAGCCCAGGAGACTCTGGGCCAGATATGGGCCTTGACCCAGCAGGGATCAGAGAAGGCCCCTGGAAGAAAGTGCCATGTAAGTTGCGTCCCAAGGAAGAGTGGGAGGCAGCAGAAGGAGCGTGGGGCAGCATCCAGAAGGAGCTGGGTGCACGGTAGGCCTGGAGGGAAGCCTGTGTGTGTGACAGGAACGAGGGGGCGGCCCATTGGGCTGAGGACGTGGCGGTGGAGATGTGTTTGGAAAGCTTTCAAAAGCAGGGTGGGGGACAAACCTGAGGGAAAGAGGCCTGAAGAGACCAGTACGGAGGCTGGAGCCGGATCTAAGGCAAGGGAAATTTTGGGGATGGGAGAAGGGAGGCTTCTCGGCGGAGGTGTCAGTAGCAAAAAGCTGGAAGATTGGGGCGATCGGTCTAGTCCTTGAGTTCTGGGGCGATGGGACCCAACCTAGCCCATAGGCCAAGCCCTACGTGTTCTGTGTACATTTAGCACAAATACCCTCCTTCGCGTTGCCTCCAGAGATCCTGCACGTGGCAGCTGCAGTTCTGGGCACAACTGAGCGCATGCTGTCCCCGCCCCTGGCAGATGCTCATTTGAGTTTATTTGCATAACGTCTCCGCCCACTCTGGGCCCAGCTGCTCCGGGCCCTCCAGCCCTTAGTGCGGCCCTGCGCCCCCTGCCGGCCACAGAGGCAGCGCAGCCCAATGTCACCTCCTCCGCCCAGCGCCCCCTGCAGGCCCCCGAGCGCGGGCCGCCCAGAGCCCCGAAGTTTCAGAAAAGCAGCGCTAAGCCGGGACTTAGCCTGGAGCCCGCGGCGCCCAGTGTTCTAGCCCCTTCGCTATCTGGGCCCTGATATCCTCCAACATCTCTCCTGGCCCCCTGCACTCAGACACCCCCAAATTCTCGGTGCCCACTCAGAGCTTCAATGCCGGTCCTTTTACATGCAGATTGTTCTGCCAGCAATGCCTTTCCCACCCTGCGCTCCAAGGGAACTTGGTCGGGGCCCGCTCCAATAGCCCCCTCTTTTGGGAAGCCCTCCCAGACCCTCCTTCCTGAATCCCCCCTCCACCTCACCCAGGAGGAGCTGCGATCTTCTGCGTGCCTGGGGGCGGTTTTGGATGATGGGGACGGGGGGCTCGGGCAGGCTCCTCTCACTCCCTGCCTTCCCCTCCCGCCCCTCAGGCCATTTACAAGATGGTTTCGTCCGTGATGAAGATGCCGGAGGACGAGTCGACCCCAGAAAAGAGGACCGAGAAAATCTTCCGCCAAATGGACACAAACAACGACGGTGAGGGGCAGGGGCGGGGCGGGGCGGGGCGGGCGCCACTCCCCCTTCCTCTCCCGCTGTTCTGCCTCCCCTCGGGGCGCGGCCGCCTTCTCCATCACTGCTCCCTTCGCCCCGCAGGCAAGCTGTCCCTGGAGGAGTTCATCCGCGGGGCCAAAAGCGACCCGTCCATCGTGCGCCTGCTGCAGTGCGACCCCAGCAGCGCCTCCCAGTTCTGAGCGAGAGGACCCAGGTTCCCCCTCCTCCCTGCCTTCACTGGCCCTCTCCCGGCACTCAGCTTCCTCTCCCTTGTGTCTATCCAGCCTGGGGGTCAGACTGGGCACCTCCCCCCAGGGCCTGCACTCTGGGGTCTATGGAGAAGGCAACCCGCAGTACCCCCAAGGCCCAAGCAAGCAAGCGGTCAGCACCGTCAATCCGAGAGGCGGTATCTCCCTTAGGCAAGGATTGAGACGCAGGCTCTGGCTGGATCTGCCCTCCCTCACCCAGAGGGAACTTTAACCATTCTCCCCCGCCCCCACCCGCCCCCAGACCCACACGCAGCCTCGGGCTACTCCCCCCAACCACCGGGCAAGCTCCCCAACCCCCACCCCCGCCCTTGCAGCTCTCAGTCAGGGTGGAGGGGGAATCATGCCCAGGTGAGGAGGCTGTCTTCATTTGGAAAGGAGAGAAGGATTCTAGGGGTGTGGGGGTTTGAGGAAAAAGCTTCCTTGAGCCATCCTTTCCTGCAGGAGGGCCTCAACCCTTCCTGTTCCACCGCTCTTGTTGGCCCGGAGGCCAGGATGCAAAAGGAAAACCTCTGGGTTCCAGCCTCCCAGCTGTGGGTCCCATGAACCCCCCCACCTGCCTTTCAGCACTTGGATGAACACAGACCCACTGATCCCTCTGTGTACTTTTCCTCTCTCAAACACACACACCAGGCCCACGGATGGGCAGACACACCCAGAGCCCCACCCACAGCATCCTGTGTGGGAAAACAGCACAGGACACCCCCCACCCCCCCACACCCCCCCGCCAAGTCCCCTCCCCTGCTGCATGCATCCACGTGGAGCATCTCTGTTCTTTTTAATAACTTCGGAATAAAGTCTCATTTCAGTGCAGTGGGCTGGGTAGCTGAGGGAGGGGGTGGAAAGCTCTACTGGGGTCCCCGAGTGACCAGTGAGCTGGGGTCTGCTCGAGGAACCCTGGCCTGGTCACAGCACAGGCTGGGTTGTGGGGCCCTAGTGGTCATGGGGCCTGGATGGGGCATCAGCTCTCAGAGGGTCAGTGGCTCAGAGCTGGTGCAGCTTAGCAGGTCATGGCCCTCCACAGGCTCTGGGCTCTCCTGCATCTGTGGAGACATGAGAGGGTGCCAGGGTCTGGGTCTGCTCCTCCAGGACATCTAGGGGCTGGGAGGATGTCGGGAGCAAAGGGGCATCACTACTCCCTCCCATACAAGAGCCAGGCCATACCCTTGGAGTGCCCCCAGTTTGAGCCCAGATTACCCCCCCCCCACAAGACTCATCCTGGCCCTTGGGGGAGCCAGGTTTCAGCTGTGTGTCTTAGCTGGGAGATCTGACCTCTCTAAGCCTCCAAGCTGCTCCCTTTTGTCCTGGGGAAAAAACTTTTGCCCCATTTCTCAAGGCAAGGGCCCCATACAGAGGGGTGGGGGCAGACCAGCCTGGGCTCCCCAGCAAGGGCTCCCGGAAATATGGGGAGTCAGGACTGATGGAGGGGGTGGCAGGCCTTACCACGTGGTGACTGCTTTTCCCCCACCAGGGCCTCAGTTCCAGCAGCTGGTGGGTGAGCTGGGCGCAGCGCACGGCAAACACACTCTCGGTCACGCAGAACACTAGCGAGATGCCCCAGAGGCACAGGCTGGAGCTCTGCAGGGGCACAAGGGGCAGGATGGACAGGAGGGGGTCTCCAAGAACCCCTCCCACCTCTGATGAGCACCTGGGTGTCACCCCCTCCACCCTTCCCCCTGCCCCCCACCCCTGCCATCCCGGGCCTAAGCACTCACGTAAATGCGTGTGGGGTCGAAGGGACAGTCGGGCACCAGTACTAGCACTTCGGGGCTTCCAAAAGTGCAGGTGGCCAGCAGTGCCCGGCCCTGGGTGGCAAAGGTCACGGCGATCGAGGCCAAGAGGCCCAGAGTACAGGTCAGAGACAGAAGGGCACAGGCCATGCTCGAGCTAAACACTGTCCAGCGCTGGATGGGGGAGGCCACTGGTCAATGGATGTCAGGCTTGGCCCCCATGGGGTCAGCCTTGCCTCCTCCAGGCAGGCCAGGCCCTTGGGGGTGGCCGCTGCCCCTACAGCCCCTCCCAGGAGGAGCCACATACCAGGGGGACACTGGGCAGGTAGCGGGACAGCACGATGGCTGCAATGCCTGAGACGATGACCTGCGGGGAAGGAGAGTAGGCAGGGGGTCAGGGCCACTCTCGGACAAAGACTCCGCTGGCGCCAACTCTGGCCCTCCCAGCCCCCAGCCCCTCACCCGGCTCTGCTTTGGCCTCACCATCTCCATCTGCACAGAGGCACTGCCTCCTCACGGTCCAGCCCTGAAGAGACGTTTCTAGTACCCGGTAACTCCCTGCCTACAACCTTCCGTGCCTCCCCACTGCCTCTAGTTGTGTATCTCAAACAGGCACCCGTGTAGCCCAGGGCTGCAGGGGCATGTCACAGGATATATATGACACGTCTCCCTGGAGTGGAAAAGATTTTGGAAGACACTAAGTAACTCAACTGGCAAGGAACTAAAAACAAAATTGTTCTTTTAAAAAGTCAGAAAACTTTGTGGAGTAGGGGCGCCTGGGTGGCTCAGTCGGTTAAGCATCCAACTCTTGGTCTCAGCTCAGGTCTTGATCTCAAGGTCCTGAGTTCAAGCCCCGAGTTGGGCTCCATGTCAGGCGTGGAGCCTACTTAAAGAAGAAAAAAAAGAGAGAGAGAGAGAGAGAGAAAACGTTATGGAGTGGAATTCTATGCGCTGGGCCCATGGGAGGCAGGCTGTCTGATGGGACGGCCATGTCTTTAATTCACCAAGCGGACACAAGTAAGTGCCTTAACCTGTTCGGGCCAAGCCCCATGCGGCAGGATGAGCTCACAGAAAGGACACGAGCTTTGGCGTCAGACACAAATAGTTTCAAATCCAGCTTGGTTTCTTTGTATCAGCAGGGCAGCGGTGAATCCTCAGTGTGGCCTCCCCGTCTGGAAAATGGGGATAGTCGTGGCCCCGTGTTGCCGGAAGCAGGGAGGATTAGCTGAGGGAATGAGGGCAAAGCTGAAGGGGTGTGGCCTGTGGCCCATCCCTGGTGATCTCCTAACCCCGAGCTCACGAGCTCAGCTGAGCTCACCTCTCTGCTTTCCCTGACTTCCTGACAAGGCTGGTGAGAGGGACGAACCACAGTAACAACAACGCTAGGGGATGCCACACACATCTCTGTGGCCCAGCCCCGTCCCCTTGACTGAGGCTCTCCTGCTTGCTGGGGCCCCGCGATCTTCACTCACCCAAGCCTTGGGGCCAGCAGGCGGTTGGAGCTTCCCTTTGTAGAGACAGAAACAAGGCCCTCAGCCAGGAGGTGGCAGAGATGGAACTCCAGACTTTGATGCACGAATCTTGCCCCAAGGCTGCCGCCAACACCGCTAACAGGTGGGAAAGACCTTTCTGACCTTGAGAATACCAGGCCCCTTCATTCCTGCATTCCTCAGACAGGTACTGGCATCCAGGCCAAACCATGGCCGCCATTAATTGAGCACCTACCATAGACCAGGCCTAATGCTGAGTTCCTGCCAAGTTGGTTTTTTCAGTGTCTCCAGAATAGATCTTAACCATTCCCACCTCCACACCTTTGCCTCTGCCATTCTCTGTATTTGGAATGTCATCCCAGCTTCCTCTCCTACTTGCCGGCTCCAGCATGCCTCCTATCTGGGTTATGGTAATTACAGCCTATCTTTGAACTCCTACTCAGCCATCAATACCCAGCTCAGGGGCCTCCACGTCTGTGAACCCTCCTGGACCCTCCCCACCTGAGCTGATGCTCCTTCCTTCTGTCCAGCACTGCCTTGACTAGTTCCCTCTTGTCATCATAATCCAAGCTCGCAGTAGTGAGCACTGCCCAGGCATCAGATACTGGGACAAGCACTTTATGGGGATGATTTTTTTTTTTTCAAAGATTTTATTTATTTATTTGACAGAGAGAGACACAGCGAGAGAGGGAACAGAAGCAGGGGGAGTGGGAGAGGGAGAAGCAGGCTTCCCGCGGAGCAGGGAGCCCGACGTGGGGCTCGATCCCAGGACCCTGGGATCATGACCTGAGCCGAAGGCAGACGCTTAACGACTAAGCCACCCAGGTGCCCCTATGGGGATGATCTTAATACTCACGGGGACCCTCTGAGGTGGACACTGTTACCTTCCCCATGTTATAGACAAGGCAGCTGAGGCACAGAGAGAGGCTGAGAGCCTTGTCCAGTGGGTAAGGGGCAGAGCAGAGGGCGTGAGGGGCTCTACTTGCCCACCCCAGGCTCGGGGCGGGGACTCATCAAAGGCCTTTCAAGCCCCCGCCACTCCCCTCACCGGTCCCCCTCCCCGCCTGGCCATACCACAATGGCAGACGTGACAGACAGGATGTTGACCACGCAGTATTGCAGGGCCACAGCGTCGTGCGGGCCAGCCACGTAGCGCAGCACGGTGCCGTGGAGGAGAGTGGCTGCGATGAAGCTCACGTGGCCCAGCACCACCAGCACCAGCCCTGTCTTCATCAGCACCCTCCGGAAGTCCTCCATACTCAGGCCACCTGTGGACCACATGGGACAGCCATGTCAGGGCCATGGGGGCGGGGGGGGTGGGCTGCGGCACAGCCTCTGGCAGAGGAGAAGACTGAGGCCCCAGCAGGAGTAATGGACACTAGGCTCTAAGTCTGTTTCTGGATGACTCGGGTAACTTGTCTTGAGCCTCAGTCTGGATGACTCTTGGTAATTTGTCTTGAGCCTCAGTTTCCTCATTTGGAAAAGGGGTTCACAATGGCTTCATGAGAGTCTCTGGAACTCTAAGGCTAGAAAAGCACACGGGTGGTACTTAATGAAGGGTCACAGTCCACGTGAGTGCTCAAGTCCCCAAGGGGCAGGGCCACAGTCCACGTGAGTGCTCAAGTCCCCAAGGGGCAGGGCCACAACTTGAACCTGGGTCTCTAGCTCCGGATCCATGGTCTTTCCGCTAAGCTCCCCATTCACTGATTTATTCATTCAGGAATTTGTTACACAGATGTTCCCCGAGTACCTGCTCCGTGCCAGGCCCTAAAGCACCACGGTGAGTTGGACAGTCACTGTCCAGGCCCCAAGGAGCCCCTAGTTCATGGACCAGGGACCAGGTCCTGCTCAGGATTCACTTTGGGGTATAGAGCCGGGCACACAGTAGATAATCAACTCACAATTGCTGAACTGACTTGGGGCAAGAAACTCAAGCCTCTGAGTACCCATTTCCTCATCTTTAAAATGGGAAGAATAACCCCTGCCTCCCAGTGGAGAAGGAGGGTCCCATGAGGAGATAGTGGGAGAAGGAGGGAAGGTGGGAAGGAAGTGGGGAAAGGAGGGAAGGTGGGTGGGGCATACCGTGCAGGTGCTGGGAAAAGCAAGCTCTAGGTGCAGGGGCACTGGACAGGGACAGGCCAAGTGGGGGAGGCTGGGGTCAAAAGAATACCAGAGACACATATGCAAATTCCTTCTGAGTGGCCAAGTGGCTACCCAGTCCCTATGTGCGCACCCCAGGAATAGGGAACCCTCTTCCTTGAGCAGCTCAGGCTGTTCCATATCTGCCCTCTGGAATGTCCCCTATGGGTTCTGGCTCTGCCCCCGAGGACACACACCATGCTAGCCCCCTGGCCCTGTCAGCTTCCTTATTCCAGCCAGCTCTGAGAGACTGGGAGACTGGCAACCCCTGAATTAAGCAACCCCTCTTCTTTGTTTAGCTCTTCCCCATGGAACCCGTGAGTCCCTTCTCAGACCTCAGTCTCCCCATCTGTGTCAGAGAGGGTTGGGTCATATTTCATATTATGGGAGCCCTGTAGCTAAAAGAGATGAAAAAAAAAAAAAGAGAGAGAGAGAGAGAGAGAAAGGAAGGAAAGAAGGAAGGAAGGGGGGAAGAAGGGATCATAACTTGGGGGCCCTGTGCCAAGAGGCAGTCCCTAGGGAGCAGGGAGGATAGGGCCATGGTCACAGCCCTCCTGTGCGACCTTGCCATATATAAAACGGGGAGGGGCTGGTCTAGCTGTCTGAGACCCCTGGAGCCTGCAGGGCCCTCTGGAGCTAGACCAGGTCTAGGAGCAGAGGGCCGATGATGGGCTTGACGGGCACTGTGGGACTGGAATGACATTGTGAAGATTAACTGCCAGCCAAACAGGAAGCTTCGTCCCAGGGACCTGACCCACCTCACACCATCCACCCACCTACCCGGCAGCCCAGACACCACCTGGCTCAGGGTTGGGCTCATGAACAACAACAACATCCTAGGACCAAGACTCGGTCAAACCAGAGATCCCGTGCCAGTATGGGGCTGTGCCCAGAGCCCTGGACTGAGTCTCAGGGCAGTCCTGGCATCTCTAAGTGACCATTCTTAGAGCACTTATCAATGTGGTTGGCACAGTGGTAAGCACTTCACTCTTAGGAGCTCACTTCCTTCTCACAGTAGTCCTAGGAGGTGGTGCTACCATCCCCATTTTACAGATGAGAAAACTGAGGTTCGTAAGGTCTCTTGGCTAGAGAGTGGGGAGTCCCCAGGTCCGTGTGCTGCCCAAGAGCAGTATCACTGTGCCGAGGGAGTCAGGGGAGAGGACACATCGGTCCCACTCTGTCTGGATCCTGTTTGCTAAAGGCCCTTCCATCCCCTCCTGGTTGGAGGAGCGGAGGGTTGGAAGTGGGAGCCTTTGGCAAGGCTGAGGAGGTGAAAGAGCAGGGAGCCTCAGAACTCTCTGGGTCCCGGATCTCTCTCCCTCTGCTCTCCCTTGCTGCTCTCTCCAGCAACTCTCCTCCTCCCGCCTGGGGGTCCCTCCTCCGCAAGAAAGGAAAGTGGGGGCGAGGGGCGGAGGCGCTACCCCACCTCGAGAAGATACTAGCAGCCCTCCTCCCTCCACCTCCCTGCTGGGGAAACTGAGGCCGAGAGCGGCAAGTGACCCGCCGAGGAAGCGGCGCGGACCCCGGGGTTCCGGGCTCCGGCCACAGCGCTCCGCCCCCGCGGGAGGATCTGGGGCGGCGGGGGGCCTCGCGGGCCGTC